AGAGCTAGACAGACCTGTTGTTGGACAACAGGACAGACCTGTCTTAAAAGAAAATGCAAATCTGTGGGCACACAACTGTGATCTTCCTTCAGTATCTGTTCATGGGACCTCTTTATGTTGTATTTATTACAGTAATTCTGTCAAACACATTGCTGTTTTCATACTTCTTATTTTTCAAATATCTAAAGGCTTTCTATCCAAGCAAATTCGAATTTCTTTTTTGTGGGAGACATTTTGCCATCATTGTAATGTTGGGCATGTTTCATTCTTGAGATCTAATGTAGGAGGAAATCAATTGCTTATGTAGCTGCTACCGAATTGTCACAAAATTGTATCAGGGAATATTAGCCAGAATGAAAGGCGGCACTATTTAGGCTGTAGCATGGTGCAAACCCTGCAGATGAGTTGAGGGAGAACTTATTAAACAAATCACTTCTCAATGCCTCAAGTCAGAGAAGCTAAATACTATTATACAGGAGAAAGCAACATATTTTATCACATAGCCAGACTTAAAATGAGATATAAGAGTAATTACGTATCAACTTTGTAGACAGCTTAAATGTAAATTTGATTTCAGTTTAAATAGAAAAATAAGGTAACATAGCTGCACATTGTCTTACTTTTTTTTCCCCCTCATTTTCCTTGTCAAGGATGCTTTTGTGCTAACATCCTGTTTTCTCTTAGTCTAGAGAGTACAGAGATTCTCTTCAGACCAGAGAAAAGCCTATTACAAATTACCAGTTACTTGCTAAGGGTGAAAATAAGTATTCAGCATTTGCAAAGCTTGACACTGAACAAAAATGTAGTTTTATGTAGTTTTAGTTTTATAGGGAAAGCACTCATTTCGTTCAGTAGTATATATGAAGCCTGATGTAGATTTCTGTAGATCCGCAGAGCCTAGTGTTACAATAGGGTGCCCCTCCCTTGCACGTTTTTTCCTATTCTATCTTTTGCTTATGTTTCCTTCTTCCAGCCCCTTAATGTAGCAATCTCAATGTAGAAGTCTAAATGTAAACGTAGAAACTAATGTAGAAATCTCAATGCAGTACTCCGTAAGACTTCTTCTAAGGAGCATTACCAGGATCAGCAGCCCTGCTTGGAAGACTGACAAAAAGATAGGTAACAATGAAAGGGAAAACAGCACCAAGGCCCTGACATGTGTATAATAGGAAGATGGAAAAGGAAGCATACAGCCAGTAAGACTATGCTTAGTCATTTGTAGGATCTTGACAGTAAATATGGAATTGAGTTACTTTTTTTTTTTTTTCTGCCTACCAAACCAAAATCTGGTCAAACTGTATGCTCTCTCGTTTAAGTTCACCACTGCAACTGCTGCATGAGCAGACATGTTAGGAGCCAACTACTGCCTTCTTGCAAATGGCTCCCAATGGTTTGAACCTCTACACAGGGTAAATTGCATGTCCTTAGAATGAAATTGTTGAGTAAGAAGTTGCCCTTTCTTATACGGAGGAGGATCCAAACTCCATTACACTCAGTGGGAGTCTTCACCATTAACAGTTTTAAGCAAATTTAATCTTAACCCCATAGTGAATTTTATAACCCTACTGAAGCTTAAGTTCTGCCTCATGCCCTCTACTCCTTTTACCAGTCTTATTTCCAATCTTTGAAAAATCTTGCATCTTCAAAGTGAGTCTGTCAGTTGAGAGTCACTCATACATTTTGCTTAAACCGCTTGAAAAAAAAATTAATTAGAATAATATAAGAACTGAATCCCTCCAAAGATTTTTACATGGCTTGCTTTTTTTCATCTGTTATTAAAGATCATACAATTTTCCAGGGAAATACCCTTTTGGAAGACAGAATGAGGTTAGCAGTAAAGGCTTCAGAAGTACAGTGATTTTTAACACTTGCTAAAAAATAAATTCCCGAGAAGGTGCGTGGGGAGGGAGATCTCGAGATAATACTATTTGTTATAATCCTTTCAGTATCCATCATGAGTTTGAAAGAAGGCAATTATTTTGTCTAGAAAGTTGCTGTGATACTGAGAATTTGATAAAATGTTGCCTTTTATGTAAAAATGCACATGCATTTAGCTATAGTCAATATATAAGCTATCAAATGAATTAAATGCATTCTCAGAACTTGTATTTACAGGGCTCTGTGTAGTATTGAATCTTCAGTGAAATGATCTTTTTACTGCATAGCCTTTTTCTGATTTACTTCCTAGGAACAGGCAGAATTGTTAACAGAGTAGTAAAATAGCAATTAGTGCCCAAATAGAATTCACATGTACATACCAAAAGTTTTTCTAAGCTAGAGGTAATGCTGTATGTTTTAAGTATCTTTGTGATACTATTTCACATACATATTCACAGACATTTTCGGGTTAATAACACTGTACTTGCTTGTGCCACAGTGTTCCACCCTTGTTATTTTTCCTTTGTATGCAGTGTGTGGTATTCCACACACTGTATGCAGTATGTATTCCACACAGAAATGGCAGGATTGCATCAGGATTTAGTTCCCAGTCTGTATTTTTACCTTAAGGTGTTTCACAGTACCCCCAAGCTCATAGCCTTTCCTGCTGAAATCAGCTGGTTTCTCCAACTTTAACGGAGTAAATTTCTGTTTAGGCATATGTCACATAGTAAATTACAATTTTGATCATAAACTATTATCATAAAGATATAGCTATTTATAATGCAGTAGCATTTGGAAGCCAGGCATTGATCTGTCTCTGCCAAGTACATTGTACTGTACATCTTCTGTGGAAGCAGGGTTCCTCCTGTAAACAGTGTGCCAGGAGTCATAAGAGCATTACGTGAAGTCAGACTCAATTTCTTTCTTTTGTGTAATGGTAGACACTCTCTGTTTTTATAAGTACACATAGTATATTTCAGTAGGATATTCTCATCAGTGATTCAAAGTGTTTTCGCAGATAGAAAGTAGGAGGTTTGATAGCCCAGCAGCTGCCCTTTTAAATATAGATGCCAGTAACTCGCACAGGAAATATGAGGAGCTAATAAATACTGCCAGGAACAATTTGTGGGTTTCTTACCAGACTGTGTTTAACTGCCAGTCATGTTAGGCCATATAATCCTATCACTCACTGTGAAGCTGCAGGAGGAGGAGGAAGAGATACTCCAGGTCAGAGGATGAATCACTCATTTATGAAGAGCCTGTCTGTGCTCACTGCAGGAGGACTGTAAGGCAGACAGAACATATTCTTTACCCACCAACACAGGTGTAACAGTAATTCTTTACAAGCTGATTAGCATGTGTTCCTTTTGCTCCCCAGGTGTTTCCTCAAGGGGGGACATCTCTTGATACTGACTTGTTGCCTCTGTACAGTCAGAGGTATGTCAGCTTGCCTTTTACATTAGGCAAGCTTTTCCGTAAAACACAAAAATAAATGAGTTCTAGGTACAGTCATACAAGCAATAATTGAAACAAACGTTGCCAAAAAAAAAAAAAAAAAAAAAAAAAAAGAGAGATTCTAATAGTTTCAGAGTTTTTTTCCCAACAATATTGTGCTTTTTGTCATGGGGCAATGCTGTCATCCTTATCATCTGCCCAATTCTAACACTTAGCAGCTTGTGCTCATTTGGGTGGTTTGCTGAACATTTGTACAGATACCATTTTTCAGGAGGTTGTATATGGGTTTCCAAGAATGCTTCCTAATTTCTAGATATCTACTGTACTCCTTCATTACCTTTGTCTCCCTCTCTCTCCTACTAACATGAACTCTCGGAAACCTATTGAGATCTAGAAGTTCCATCATGTGTTTGACCCATAGTTGGACCTCAATTTTGTAAGGCTTGTGGTCTTCACAATATTCTGAACTTGTAATAGAAACCATGTATAACTCACATGGATATAGTACTTAAAAGATTCCAGACATCATACAGGGCAGTGGCTCTGCTGTCTCTCTAATATCAGGCAATCCTCACCATAGTCAGTTCATGCTTTTCATTTCTGAAGATTTCTAAGTTGCTTTTCATGTCCCCTGAGAAGTCATTTGTCTTTTCCAAAGAGCACCCCTTCATTTACTTCTTACCCCATTCTTCAGAGCAAAGTACACCCATTCTCATCTGACCATTGTTTGAAAATCTTAAAACTTTTATGCTTTAAAAAATAACAACAAAATGAACAAAAATGAGAAAGATTTGATTCGGTTAGTATATAGTAATATATGGTTTAACCCGGACGGCAGCTAAACACCACACAGCCGTTTGCTCACCCTCTCCCCTCCCTCTCTGGGACGGGGAAGAGAAATGGAAAGTGAAGCCCGTGAGTTGAGATAAAGACAGTTTAATAAGACAGGAAAATAATAATAACAATAATAATAACAACAATAATAATAATAGTACAATGACGATAATAGTACTACTAATAGTAATGTGTACAAAGAAGTGATGCACAATGCAATTGCTCACCACCCGCTGACCAATGCCCAGCCTAACCCCGAGCAGTCCTGCCCCCTCCCCTCGGCTAGCCACCCCTATATATTGTTTAGCATGACCCCATATGGTATGGAATACCCCCTTGGCTAGTTTGAGTCACCTGTCCTGGGTCTGTCCCCTCCCAGCTCTTACTGCACCCCCAGCCTGCCCATTGGCAGGACAGAGCAAGAAGCTGAGATGTCCTTGGCTTAGTATAAGCACTGCTCTGCAACAATTAAAGCATCGGGGTGTTATAAGCACTCTTCTCATCCTAAGCCAAAACATAGCATTCTACCAGCTACTAGGAAGAAAATTAACTCTGTTCTAACTGAGACCAGGACAATGTTAAATGGCTAAATATGCCTCAGTTCTGGCTCTTGCCTTAATCTCTGCAGCCAGTGGGCCGGTGAATTACAGGTAAACAAAATCTGTTCACATCTTATCTAGAGAAAAAACATTTTTTCTGGCATTGTTGTATGTGCATATTTCTATTTATTTGAAAAGGGAGTAATAAGAAAGGTTCTGTCTGTACGCAAAGCTTTCCAATACACTTGATAATAATAGAGTATTCTTCATTTGTGTTTCCATTCTTGTTAGCTAGACAGGCAAAGAGGATCAAGTCTTGGAGGAAAGGTTGAACTTCTTTCCTGTAGAGTTTTTCCCTCAGTGAAGTTCCGCCTGCAAAGAGTTGTTGTACTCCCTCTTCCCTGCAGATACTTGCCTGGTATCAAATGGCGATATGACTCAGTGTGCCTGCCTGCAAGCAAGCATTTCCACGCTCACACATCTTCAGCAGCTTTCTGACTCAGCAGGAGTTCATGCTCTGCTCTGTCACAAAATAGCAGACTGAGTATTCTGCAGTGCAGGAACTGAAAATTGACTGCCTTACACTTCCCTTTGAACTACTGATGATGAAAGTCACAAGTATGTCTGCCTTTCTATCAGTGGTCTGCTACCACGTACACTGGGTTCTGTGGAATGCCAAATGCCTGTTTTATCGACTGAATGGGAAAATCAGTGCTGCTACTGGCTGACGAAAAGTATTATGGACTACCTGTAACCTCATGATGCTCCCTATCACAGATAAGTTTTCCAAACCAATTATGCAGTTTTTGGCTTTATAGAAAGACTCCTGTAGCTTTACACTCTAACTCTGTTCAAGAGAAGATGTTCTGCACCCTCACTGGACATGAGATCCCTTTGTGAAAATTGTCAGTAACGGAAGCTCTTTGACCAAACACTGCCTACAAATGAGAAAACAGACATTAAAAATGCCATCTCTGATATCTCAAAGGACTGGATAATAAGTTAATATTGAGCCCCAGTGGTAGGTTTCTGTATCAAAGGCGACAAATGTTGCAATTCATAAAGTCTCTGTTGTTATGCAAAAAGTTCTGGCATGGTTTAGCTCTGATAAAACATCTTTTGTTGTTATTACTCTGTGTTCTCTGCAAAGACATGATACCACTATTCTTGGGGTCTTTGTAGGATGGAGCAGAAGAGCTTGAACCATCAGAAGCTGTGGAGCAGGGATTTTTTGTTTATAATATTGCTCTCTAAGTCTTCTGCCAATTACACAGATGTAGGGTTACTGTTAAAATATGGTAAAGTCAATGCCTGGAGATGTGAGTCTCAGAATTTGTGCTGTGCAGGTTTTATATTGCTGCAAGTAGATAGGACATTTTCCAGTGCATTAGGGAAAATGCATGAGAAAATGAATGGGCTTTTATTACTGTATTTAGTGGGCATGAATCCCGTCTTTCAGAACCGAGGTTGGATGCTTCAGATCTCTGCAGTGCAATTCATTATGGGCTGGCTTCCACTGGGTGCACGGAACAATCCATTAAATGATTGAAAACGAACAGTGAGCTTTTTTAAAAGACAGGCTATAGTGCGCTAGGGCTAAAAGCTGTGCTGGCCTTCGGAGTTTTTACTTATACACCATTCAATCCACACAGATTGCTACAAAATTTCAGCAAGAAGGTCATTTCCCTGTCCCATTTATCAGCTGGCACACACAAAGCCCTGGCATATTACTACAACTGAAAAACTACTGGAAAGCTATGAATTCGAGTATATTTTTAGCAATATCAGCTGTACTGGTTTTGAGCTAATATACAGCATATTTTAGACACAGTTTCTCTGTATACAGTTTTCAGAACGTTATATAAACGTTTATTTACATCTTTTGGTATCTTTTGTTTAACTTGGCCTTCCTAAGGAGGCAGATTTTATATAAACACACAGAAATGGGGAGAGTAGTGGAGATGTTCTCAGAGTTAGAAAAGGGACAACGTTTGAAGCTATAACAAGATCTATGCGTACGTATGTCTTTAGATCAAGTGCAGTTCAGATGAGTTGTCACAAAGGAGGCTCTACACATGTATGTTAAGAACCCAAATTGAAGTGTGGCTGGTCTGTCCCCTAGTCCGTGTGGACCTGCCCTGTCTCAGCTCCATCAGACCCAAAGAGCAACTGCTGTTCAAAGAAGCTGCCTGCGGGCTGTGTGGCCTCTGTTGTACATGTCTGGTACTGGTGCTGTATGCTGCACCTCGCTGGTGCTGTGTAATGTGCCTCCCCCCATTCTCTGTCAGTCCTTCATATCCCCCTTTTACCTTTAATAGCTTGTTTTAAAAGGTGACACTTTGGCAGCTAGTCCTATAGGAGTTTCTAGTCTCTTCACTGGAAGTTACTTTCAATTATAGACAACATGGACAGTGTGCAAAGTGTCCATGAATCAAAGTTACAGCAGGTCTTTGCTAATTCCAGATGGGGTAATGAGTATTAACCTTGACTGCAAAAAAAAAAAAGATGCAGCAGTTCGCCTTCAATAGATTTTAAAATTGATTTAATGAAGAAAAAACTACGAACACTGTGCATATTGTTAGCCTGGTTTCAGTTTACTACAGTTTAAGCCCATTTCTGATAGTCAAGAAAAAACAAGACAAGGATGTTCATACTGTCCTCTGCAGTAGCCAATTAAACCCTAATCCAAACTACAACTTCTCAGCAAACAGTGCAACTTCTTCATGCTGCCATGTCTCACTGACTTTCTGTGAGCTGGCAGCATTATTTTTAAAAGTTGTTCTGAAGGATTCCTGGATCTATGTCAAAGGCTTGCTTAAGGGAAGAAAAATAAAAAGACAGAAAAGGAAATTTGTTTTTAAAAGTCAAACTGCAAGTAACAGCTCAATGGGTAAAAAAGAAAAAACTCATTTGTTGATTGGGCTCAGGTGGTCCTGGTTAATGGGTCATACTCATGGTTTGGAAACAAATGGATTACTGCAGGGCGTCTATCCTGAACCTGTTTAGTGTCTTTATCAGTGGTCTAGAGGAAGTGATAGAGGGCTCTTCCATCAAGTTTTCAGTGACACCAAAGTGAGGGCATCACCAACGGCAGGGCTGCCACAGTGAGAGACCTACACAGCCTGCAGGAAGAGGCCCACAAGGACTTGCTGCAATTCAGTAAGGAAAAATGGGAAGTCCTACACCGGGGAAGAAAGAGCTCCCCTGTGATGATACAGGCCTGGGGATGTGGGGCGGTTCTGTGAAAAAGGCCACAGGGCTCTCAGTAGCTGCAGGCTGCACACGAGCAAGCCCAGAGCTCTGGCAGCAGACGAATTCAGTGGTGTGCTCAGTTGTATCAGAGAGAGCATAGCCTCGAGCTGGAGGGATGTGCTCTCAGCTTAGCACTCATTAGACAGCATCTGGAATGTTGTGTCTAGTTTGAGGCCCCTCCAGCACAAGAGAGACCTCGATAAACTGGAGCAAGTTCAGCAGAGGGTCACAGAGGTGATCCAGGCCTGGAGGCCAGGCCCTGTGAAGAGAGGCTGGGGGAGCAGGGGCATCCTGTTAGGTCTCTCCAAAGCCTCCTCATCCCCAGATTGAACAAACACTGCTCCCCCAGCCTTTTCTCACAGAGCCTGGACTGCAGCCCTGGACCATCTGTGAGGAAGTCAGCAGAAGACAGAGCCAGGCTCTTCACAGTGGTGTGCGACAGGAGAATGAGAGATAATGGCTGTTTGGGGGGGATGAAAGATACAGGCTAGATAGAAGAAACTGTTTCTTCACAAGGGCAAGCAAATGTGGGAGCAGATTGCCAGAGGCTGTGCAGTCTCCATCCCTGGAAGTTTTCAAGACAAACATCTGATGTCATTTGAGCTCAGCACTGCTTGGCTGGATCCCATTGGAGCTCTCCAGGTTTCACGTGGAGTTCACTAGCAGCAGTGCAGTGGGGGAGCATGGTCCCTACAGGAAAGGTGCTGATGTGCATCTCTTAGCAGCAAAGCCTTCCCCATCCTTTCAGAAACCTTTTGGTGTGGACAACATATGGGACCCGTGGGAGTAGTAGGACAGTCCACAACAGCAGTTCCCAGAGAACTGGGCGGAGGGAGTGCAGAAAAACACAGGAACTCCTAACGTCTCCTGCACTGCAATCTCCCTTATCTCTTTAATTGCTGAGAGAATGTACTCTCCCAGAATAGAAGGCAGCAAGATGGAAAAACAAATTCTGAGTGGTCTTAGCCGAATTATGATTGTGTTGGGCTACATACTGCAGCCCATCACTTCTAAGTCTGTCATTACTTAGCCACAAGCAAGAAATATCTTGCAAGCTGAGCTAAGTGCTAGCCAGTGAAGACAGTATATTCTCATTATACCCACGCATGGAGCATAGCTGGGAGAACCAGGAAAATGCTTATTCACCTTACATGCCCCACAGAGGGCCTGGCTCGCCTGCTCCATGCTGCAGCTGTGCCACTGCCATCTACGAAGGCTTCCTCCACTGCGACAGGCATATGCGCACTGCAGTGTTGGCATGAATACTCGATTGCAGTGCTTTCCTTCTAGTGCACAGGTTGGCGTGATAATGTCAAATTTTGTAACTAGTCTCTCTTGAGTCAAGGGTTAAACTTGCATACTCTCTCTGAACGTTGGTCCTGTAACATTTTTTTTCTGATCAAAGTAGTCTGCTAATTAGATTTCTTTTGGCCAGAAATTGGAGATAAGAAAGACAGGGTTGTGTCAGCAAAAGCAACGTCAAACAGGAATGCCTGTATGGTAACAAAGCTATTATGGAAGTGATTTGCAGCTGTATGAAATCCACGTATACAGTGAAATAAGATAATATTGTTTGAAGGATGTTGTGGATATATCTTGCTCTGGGAGCAGATCCCAGATTTTTGGTTTCTAAGCCTTAAGCCCATTTAATATAAATATTTAGTAGTTAGCTCATTCTTAAGACATTTGCATGCCTACCATGAACCAGAGTAATACATAAATGATAACTGTGAGATTTGTTGGACTGAATGTAGTCCCAATCCAAGACTTGTGGACTCAGTAGAGAGATTTTTTGGTCTTTTACTGGCATTGGATTATATCCTGAATTGGTTAGGTACAATGAAAATCTCTGTGGATGTTATTCTGATATATGCATACCCCAAAGTAGTATTACATCATGTTGTGACTGTTAATTATTTTAATTATTATTTTAAGGTAAAAATATGCAGATCAAATTACTTTGGATTTTAAACTGCTGTTGCAGTATGGCTCACTTACAGGGACGAGTCACTGTAGCTCTGAGTACTCAGTGATTTTCTAGTGGTATCTTCACAGCAAGGATACAGCTAAGACACTGATATTAAATTCTGGCCTTGAACACTCTCGCTTGTACTCTGTTAATAAATCCCAATTCTGAATACTGTCATGGGAGTGAACGGGGAGGAAGAAGAATGGAAGGACTTTTCTGAGTCAGGAAGAGAGAGCTTATGTGAGAGATTGTTGCACTCCATGTCATTATCTGCAAATTGCTTAATGGCAGAAATACATGTTACGCAAACATTAAGCTTTCCCCCTAATCAGCAGAAGCCTTTTTAAAAAAGGTGGCAGCAAAAGGCTTTCATATGTGCTTGTAGTCCTGGTAAAATCACGTTTGATTCCCAGGTTAGATTTGCTGTAATTGCGTGTGCATATGCTGTTTGCAGCCTTTTGAGATATATTGACATTAAAATATCATGATGTTAGGCTAAGAAATCACTTTTTGCTGAAGAGAAAAAGTATTTTGATCGTTGTTACAGGATTAAAACAAGACGGCTGGCACTCCCTCTGCAGCCACAAGACCCAGTGCTCTGGCGGCCGTCGCCACCCACAGAGCAATGAGGTGGAGCCGCCGGCATATCGGCTCCGAAGCCATAGCACCTTGCAGTCTGTATGGTGGCCAGATGCCTGAGAGCGGTAGCAGTTAGCAGTCTGAAATCAATCCCCATTCCCAAATGCTTCAGATGGAGTGTGTGTGACGATAGGTGTATACAGAGGGCCAGGAAGCTGCCTACGGCGTGTGCGGAGCTAAACTTGTGTGACCAAGCTCAAGGACAGGGTTAAGTCTGAGGTCAGTGCTTGTCAGCACCCTGGAAGAGAGGCATGCGCTTTGGCTTGGTCGAATGAGCAGCCATTGGCATCAGCCTCACCTGCACACCTGACTTTGTGACCAGCAGCAGCTCTGATCCAAACCCAGAGTGGGTTCAGTAGTGGCTCCGTGCCTGTCTGACTGGGCGTGTTGGCCTCCACCACACTAGTCTTCCTCAGGGGTTCTGTACAAGCCTGGGAGACCAAGGAGGGAATTAAGTCTTGGGTTACTTGTGTTTCAGCAACCCTTGATTCCCCAAAGCATATATCGTATTTCAGTCCTACTCAGTTAACTTTGACAGTTCATGACTGAAGAAATATATAACTTTGGTGTAGGACTGCTTTGCTAGGAGGACATGATGTATTTTTAATTACCAAAGACCTTTGTCATCACAGAATGGTATTTACAAGGAGATTTTTCTCTCTGCCATGGTTGTTCGTATTTCTTACTGCTTGATTTCATTTGCATCTTAGCAAAATGAGAAAGAATCAAAATTTTCTTGATCTAAATCTTTTATTTGTACTGGACTGAAAAGGTATTGAATTGCTTATATGACAGTCGGTACCTGGCAGATATAACATCACTTTCTAATGCCCTCTATGCAATATTACTTAATGTAAAAGGTAGCATAACAAAAGGAAGAAATACAGGATGTTGCTTTACCTTCTTTTCTTGGTAAAGAAAGTGAAAAGCAGAAATGTCACAGGTGAACTGAGATTATATCCTGCAGCTAGAGAGATTGGAAAGAGACTTTAAAGAAACCTTTAAAAAAAAAGTATATAGTATTATCAATTCTTATATAAAATAATTTATGATTTTTAAATACTGTTTAAATAATTTATCTGTATTTAAAACTAACCTTTTAAAATTTTGTTTGGAACATTTTTGGCATTAATGCTTAAATAAAAATGTTTACATATTAAATTTTTTTAAATATTCAATACAAGTCAATATAAAAACAGAAAGTAGTATACATTGTTCACAGATAGTATTATACAAGACAGCTGAGCTCTAGAGCAAACTTTTCAATTTGTCAGACAAGTCATAGCTTAGTTGTGGTGAACCACTTGCTTACCCTATTTTCTGGACTCGTAAGATCATAACAGATACTTGCTATCAATATGCAGTCTATCATATTGTATAGTCATACTGTATACCATATTTAATTCCCATCTCCATGTCCAGAATTGTAAATATTTTCCCAGCATTTAGATCAAAATATCGTTTAGTGCTTACACAAATATTTGACACATACAATTTGACAAGAAACGTACCAATTTTGCTCAGCTCAATTACACAAAAACCTAACTCAAAGATGCAGAATAATGTAACTGAGACTGTCACTGTTGTGTTTAAGACTTATAACCATGTTATTACCAAATGTTTACAGGTTGTGTTGACAGCAGAAAAATGAGAATTCACTTTTCCCCTTCATTAATCCTGCTGATATTAAAGGCAGTATTGTAGGCATGATGCTGGAGCCTTACAATTAATTTGACTAACACGTGGTATTTGCTGACAGTGTAATCCCAGCGTTACAAACTTCAGAAGGACTTCACTAAAGGCCAGCTACCAGTCTCCAGCTTTTAAGCACAGACATGTATGTTGTTGCTAATGAAGCTTACTGTCAATTTGTAAATTGCTTTCTCCCTCCTTCTGTAAAGAATTCCTATATATAGCAAGGTGATTTCTACAGATAGTGTAAATGGATTCTGGTGAAAAGGGGGGTATTCTCATGCTTCTTGTATTACATGTGTCAAATTACTATTGTACATGATTGCAGTAGTTGCATCCCGTTGTACAAGATAGTCCCCAAAAATCTTTTTTTTTTTTTTTTTTTTTTTAACATACTTATCCAAAAGGACTCCAAAACGTTACAGACTCAATGGGTTACTCTGTGTAGCTATTTAGGGATACTTACTGAAGGAAAAGTATTGATGCTAACCAACATTTGAATCAAGAAGCCTATTCTAGAAATTTGGTTGGAAAGCTGCCAGGTGGAGAAGGACCTGGGAGTATTGGTGGATAGTCAGCTGAATATGAGCCAGCAGTGTGCTCAGGTGGCCAAGAAGGCCAACGGCATCCTGGCTTGCACAAGAAGCAGCGTGGCCAGCAGGGCTAGGGAAGTGATTGTCCCCCTGTACTCAGCTCTGGTGAGGCTGCACCTCGAGTACTGTGTTCAGTTTTGGGCCCCTCGCTACAAGAAGGACATCGAGGTGCTTGAGTGGGTCCAAAGAAGGGCGACGAAGCTGGTGAGGGGCCTGGAGAACAAGTCCTAAGAGGAGCAGCTGAGGGAGCTGGGCTTGTTCAGCCTGGAGAAAAGGAGGCTCAGGGGTGACCTTATTGCTCTCTACAGGTACCTTAAAGGAGGCTGTAGCGAGGTGGAGGTTGGTCTGTTCTCCCACGTGCCTGGTGACAGGACGAGGGGGAACGGGCTAAAGTTGCGCCAGGGGAAGTTTAGGTTGGATCTTAGGAAGAACTTCTTTACTGAGAGGGTTGTGAGGCATTGGAATGGGCTGCCCAGGGAACTGGTAGAGTCACCATCCCTGGAGGTCTTTAAAAGACGCTTAGATGTTGAACTTAGTGATATGGTTTAGTGGAGGATTTGTTAGTGTTAGGTCAGAGGTTGGACTCAATGATCTTGAGGTCTCTTCCAACCTAGACAATTCTGTGATTCTGTGAAATGCTACTCAGAAGAGCAGCATGTCCCACACTATGTTAGTCATAAAATGAACAAAACTCACATTTCAGATTTTGGACTCGGTTTCTTATTCAAATGCAATCTACAGGCTACAAAGTACTTGTGGGAATTATTGCAAGGCTAATTCTTAATAATTGTTCCTGAAAAAAAAAATAAATTCTTCACAGGTAACTCTCAGAGACAAGGTTTCAAGACAAGATTTCAAGAAGGACTTCAGTTCTGTTCTCAGGTCTTTATAGTGTAAGATTCTGAATGAAACTTCAGGAAGAAAGAACTCACAAACTGTGAGAAATAACCTGCTTCCTTTCACTTCTCCTGCCCCGTCACCTGCTTAGCTCAGGTGATGGACTGTACCTGTGGTGACTCTAGGTTTGGTTTACATTAAATTTGATTCTTCTGCATTCAGGGGAGCAGCCTCTGGAAAATAAATTGATATCTAGGGGAGAGCAAGCATTTAAGTGGCTATTTTAATCCATCTTGGGAGATAAACTGAGGCTTCAAGTTTATCTCACAGTAAAAACATGGTATTACAACAGCCCTCTATTTGTTTGTCTGTTACCTCAGCTAAAACGTTGGGTTTCTGCAGGATCAAGCAAGCAGTCAATGCTAAATTAATCCTCCACCACATCTTTCACCACTTACAGCACTGGTCAGGAATATTTCTATTGGTCATGAGACTAATTCTTAGCTATTTTGCAAGCACAGAATTTCAGGTCTTGGTATTCTCATGTCAGCACTATTCATTAATACACTGAAGTCACGTGAAAAATCATAACTTGATGGGAGAATTTCAGAATCAGAAATAACATAAATAAAGTGATGAACTATTATTTTTGCCATTGAAAATGCCTGTCTAGACTTAAAAGAATTTGTATTTAAGTCTTAATCTTTCCAGGGACATATATGCAGTTATATATATATATATATGTATATATATATATATACAGCTTATAGTTTGTATTGAACCCCCAGAAGTTTTATTATTCATTAGTGCTTCTTGGATAATAAACTGAGCAGAAAGGGTGCAGTTTCCTTGTTAGGACATGTTATGGTGACTCAACAGAAAGGTCTATAAAAGGCTAAGCAAATAACAGATCAAACAATTAATTTTGAAATTAAAACCTTGATTCCAGGATTTAATAGCTTTTTTTTGCATTAGACTTGTCATTTATACTTGAGCCTGTAAGAGACAGTTACTTTTTCCACATTGGAATTGAGTTAACAGTAAAGAGACAAGTGTGTGGATTTTTCTTTGATGGACAGGTGAAAGTCAAATCACCATAATCCTTCATTTTCTTTATATCATCATTAAGGCTAAAGACTGACTGAAGTTATCAGTTGAAAGAATGTCTTTCTTAGCAGAAGGAAGTTGTAATAAAAACCACAACAATTACTGTGAAGCCTGTTTTAAGAATTCTGGCCAAACTTTTGTGTCAAGTCCAGAAATGTAGTAGAAGGACAAGATATGTGCTGTTTCATCTTAACTTTCAAGTTTCTGGTGTTCCAGGCAAATTCAGAATCCTCACTTGTGCTCTATGTAGAATGCATTGAGGGAGTTGTGGGTCTTACTGGTTGTGAGCAAGAGCTCCATACCTCAACTCAGTAAGAACCAGTAATTGAAAGCAAGTTATATGTTTTCCCTTTTTTCTCTGCTGTTTGAGCTTCCATTCATCTGGATTTGATCCTTTCCTGAACTTAAGTTCTTCCTGTCAGTTATTCAAGTAGCTAAGATGGACTAACTTCTATCTTAATTTAAAAATAAAAAAAAAAGTCTGGAAGAAATTACATTTCTGCCATTGCCTACCCATAACTCTATAATAGCCGGTTCAAAATGCCTGAAAGATGCTGGTGCAATACCCTGTCATTCTGAAGGGACTTGCACCCACTTGAGAGTGCTCAAGTGTGCTCAGAGGAGCTGGCATGGAGCCCTTCTGAAATGGTGCCACTCTTCAGACAGGAACTCTGGACCAGAGAGGGATGCCAGAGGGGGCAAAAGAAAAAGGACAATGAGAAGCAGCATACTTATTAAAAACAAGCAGTCAAACAAAAAATACACTCTTGTGTGCTACATATCATACTTCAGAGAATTAAATCATAGTTAATAGTTAAGCAAAATCTTTAGAGACAGCCTCTACGAAGTTTGGTGCTGACATCAAAATACCAATTGTACAAATGATTGTGAAGACTGAAAAAGCCATCAAGCAGAGCCGATCCACTACAGAGGCTGCAAACTTCCATTCATTGCAAACGGCTTCCTCTTCATCCTGGTCTCTGAATCTGTTTGCAATGTACCTGACCTCTTCCAAGATCTTAGCCAAATCCGGGTCGCCTTCAGAAGGGTGGCCGCTGTGGAGAAGGTTTTCTTCTTCTGTTGGTGAACAGGTCATCCTCCCGCAGATCACCCCTGAATCAGTGGTAGGTGTGCAGTGCACGGCATCCAGCCCCCTAAACCCAATGTACAGCATATTTCCATTACTGGACTGTTGTCCACTCACAGTGTTCATCTCCACACTCGACAGGCTACATCGACGCTGTTTGTGTTGACAGGCAGGGCGCACTTTGTCTTCCCCTGGTCTCTTCATCCTCAGAAACCAAGCACACCAGTTCAGAAGGATGATTCTTGTCTAGAAGTAAATTACTGAGAATAAGCATCTCTTTACACAGCCACTGCTTTACGCAGCTATTTGTATTTTTACAGCCTGGGTTAGTGTCAGGTCCGTGGTCTCTGCTTAGCCTGCACGGAAGTTTCAGAAAATGGTGCAATAGTTTTCCAACTGATTAATTTGCTTGTCACTGAGGCTGCTTGCTTACTCCAGCAGTGCTGTCGATTGCCTCAGGCTGACTGTCACTTATGGGAGTGCCCCCCACTGGGAGCCTCCATAGTGTTTAATTTTCCTTACACTTGAGCAGAAATATGGCAGCCTTTTCTATCCTTACTAGAAACCAGGAAGAGAAAGAAAATGCTTACCAAAAACATTATTTTTGAATAGTCTTAGTAGCTCTACTTTAGATTGTAGTCAATAAATTAAATCTCTTTCACTCATATTTGTGCTTTGATATTAAATCCGTATGGGATTACTGCTTGGATGGGGCTGCTAAAACAGATGCTGTGCTGGACTGGAATAGACCACTAAGCTTTACAGTGTTTTGGCTCTGTTATCGCATTACTTTCATGACAGTTGATTCCGGATTTTAGAAAACAAATCTGGATGCAACATGGAGGAAAAAGTGGATAAATTACTTTTACTTAAAATAAAAATAAAAATCTGCAAGTTTAATCTCTGTGTATCATTTTATTGTTTTCCTTATTACCTTATTCCAGCCATACAGAAAGTACAGGCAAGTCGAAGACTGTTCCAGTTCAGATGCAAGCTTCTATAATTTATTTCAATCAGATTTTAAGAGCTCATTCCAGTGTTTCTTTTCCAGAGCACTAATGAAATATTGTCTCAAATAATATAAAAATCTTGCACTGTAATTAATATTAGATTTGCTCCATTTACTGAACGCAGATTACCACTTAGAGTAGATGTTATATCCAAGCAGACATCCCAATCAAAGATAGATCTTGCCTTGCTACTTGTTCTCTGCTGTCATGCTTTGCCTAGAAGAATAATACTTTATTAACTGACAGCCTGATACAAAACTCACCAGTATCCCAGGAAACTCCAATGGACTTCAGCTTGTCAACACCAAAGCCTACTCCTCAACCTCCATTACTCAGTTTTCTGAGGATTTTTAACACAGTGCTGAAGATTTGTCCCATTTAGCATCATCAACTGTCACTCTAGAGGTATATACCTTTTATTCTCTTCATTCAAATGTATTTTAAAACCACTGCTCCCAGATGGGCCAGGGAATATCTCATTAACTCTCATCTGCAGGGCACTGCTGTATGCACTTCTTTTTTGGCTAGTAAGGATAATAATAACTCATTGTTTTAGAAAGATAAAAGAGAAAGGTCTTTCCATCCTCACTAATGCCTCAGGCTGTCACAAGTTGCTGGACAGGAACACTGGACAGTTACCTGATGGTACTCATCAATATTTAGTAACTCCAATATCAAGACTGATATTCTCTGTAAAAAAGAGACTTACAGAAGTATGTTATAAAGTCCTCTGCTCTTAGAAAAATACATCATTTTTTCTTTGCACTTAACAGATGCTCTTGACCAGAGATGTGAAGATCAGAATTTTCCAAGTTACTTTCATTTTAACAGCCATCTTTAGCGGGTGCTCTTTAGGCTATTTCTGTTTCTGTATGCACAACACCTAAATATGTAGCAGCTGCATGATTTCACCTTGAGGCTAGTGTATTTCATGCATTTATAATCTCCATCAGTACCCTGCTCTTTTCTTCTACTTGCTTCACTTCTGATGGCTACAGCTTATTTGAAAATCACCTCACTTACATATATTTAGGTTTCAGCAAAACACTGAGGTACTTCTAGCTGTTGTGAAGGAGACTTTGAATAGAGAGCCAAGATGAAGAAAATTCATATACTCTCACTCTCTCAGAAAAAAAGGTATCTGGATGTGCCATTTTTGGTGAAACTACCTTTCAGAACAAACTGTTTGGCAAGGATTTATACAGATGTAGATAACGAAATTTATTTTTTTAATCAGTAAGAAGTAAACATGAGTCACAAGCTACTCTGTCACATCTCTGATCTGGGCAGTTATGCAACGGATAGTGTATTAAAATCAAACCTTACCCATTTAGGCATTTTTCCCCCATCTGGATCATGATGATGGTATTGTAGAACAATAACAGTGACAACAACAGAGAGGCCAACAATAATCATAGTGCTGGCAAAATACTGAGCTGCAAAATAAACAATTATAGTGATATATTTTGACTGATGCTGTTTTATATCTGTTATAAGGAGCATTTATGTACATGTAAATGTAATATGAAGTTACTTTTCCCAGTGTAGTGCTACATGTGCTGCTTTAGGTAGTTGTGAAAGATTTCCCAAAAGCAGCCAGTGCAGCCGTTGCTTTCAGAGCCATTATTTGAATAATAAAAGTCTTAGTGGAACTGAGCACCTACCTTTTCTAAGCAACCTTGAAAAAAATTGCCCTCTCATTTTCTTTCACCAGTATCTTGGGGATTGGCTGGTATTTTTGAAAAGCTTTTCCTTCCATTTGAGCAATTACAATAGGAAGATTTCATCACGTTTAGCTCTGTAGCCCTAATTGTGTCTGAACTGCCAGTCTTTCTGTGGGAAACTGACTCCTCTATGCTTTCCCAAAACGACACGTAGCTTCTCTCTGTATTTTGTTCAGACCAGCCAGCACAGAGGTTGTACAGGCAATCACACCTGTGGGAGACTCTCATCAACTGGCAACACTTGCTGACTTGCACTGAGGAAACAAAGGCAACTCGGTAGCCCTCGTGGAGGGCTTGTAATCCCCTGATGCAGCCCTGTGGTGTCTCAGCCCATCTCCTCTCCCCCTCCCTGAGGTTCCCTGTCAAGCTCTCCTGGGGGAGCTGCCTTTGCTGCTGGCGTCGCTCCTTCCCTCCCTATATCTGCTGCCTGCTGCCTGCGCTGTTCCCTACGCAGAGGGGTCGGGCACCTTCCGTTCCTCAGGAAATCACTGCTGTATGCTCACACAGTCGAGTCAGAACATTGTTTTCTAATTTAATTGTACATGTAATTTGCTTTACTGCTGGCTGTCATGCAAGGTCACTGCTTCTCATTTAGCAAAAAATAAAAGTGAATAAAAACTGTAGTTAGCTTACCGATTAAGGGCACAGAATCAGATGTTGCTGGCATAATTTCAGCCACAAGTAACATGAAGACAGTGAGAGACAATAAAACTGTTATACCTGAAAGATAAGCATAAAGTATGAAACTAGATCAGTAGTTGTAATAGCAAGGCAATAAGTGGCAGAGAATGAATCTGAAAGAGGCAAATGTACTGCTGTGGTTCCCCCTCACGCTGGCAGAGAGGTAGGTCTGGGCAGACTGGTCCTTTCTGGGGCTACCTCAGGTTCAGGGTGACAGTGCTATCAAACTAGTGCCAATGCTGGTCCATGAGACTGCTGTGAATAGGAGAGAGATTACAGAGATTACAGGGGTTGAGTAGGTCTGGGTTTTCTGAACTTGCACAGGTGTATGTATTTTTAGATCCGTGTTAACTATTCAGCTCGTATCACACTTGCTAATTAGCTGAGGTAAAACAAAGTACTTCTTGCTGCTTGTTTGCTTTAGAAACATGGTGTGATTTTTAGTGTTTGAGCATATGAGACTTGATTAATTGGTATGGAAGCTACAGGCAGTGTAATGCATAAGATTCCTGAAAAACAAGTTAGCTGTTTTGGACAGCAATTGCTGTATTTCTTGATAAAAGTGGTTGAGTTCTGCATGTGGCTATGTTCAAGCAATCATGACTGCTGATGTTTGGAGTTTGACTTCTGTTACTCAGTGATCAGTTCCAACCTCTATGAAACAAGGTCCAGCTCTGTTCTCAGAGCCCCTCTGTTCTAGGGGGTCACTGTTAGGTAGAAAAGGATTTACGAACAAAGAACTCATCTTAAAAAATGGGGAGGGAGTTCTTGGAGAACTTCTTTCTGGAGAAATGTTCATTATGTTCCTACATTTACCAGTTGCATTCAATTAGTAGAAGCCTGTGTATTTGCAGATTTGTATGGAGCAAAAAGTTTCATTATATATTTAACTACCATCTTAAGGATCAAGTACTTAAACTCATCAGACTTGTTTCACAAGTCAATAATTTAGTTTAAAATTGCTATAAAAACAGTAATAGTAGCAGTTAAATGGAATCAATCCTTCTGAGAAGGCAAAAAGCAATCCTAGGCTCTTAATATGAGTCATAATTAAAAAGAAACATTAACAAGAATTCCATATGTCAGTGCTCAAATGCAGATTTGTGAGCTTAAGCTTTACCTGGTGAATGTGGATTTTTTTTTTCAGCAATTAAACATCACAAAATGAAACCCTGCTTCCAAAGGAGGCTGGTTAGGAATTGTCATGCTTCCACTTAGCTGGCCAGAATTTCTCCCTTTCACAGCTTCATTGTCCCCTAAAGCTTACAGCAAAGGTTAACGGTGATACTGTGCTTCAGCATCACACTGTAAAAACAGTTTATGAGCCCAGGCACATAAACTATTCCTCCTTGTCTCCAAAGACTGTTTAAAAAGAAATTTTAGAATACAACTTTTTTTTATGGTTTGGTAATATTTACAATAACAGTATCCTGTTGAAGATTTACCTAGCGAGATCTTTTCTCCAGAGTCTGCTGGAAGTAGAAAAACTAATAAGGCAAGCGCTGATATCAGTACACAGGGAATAAGAAGATTGAGTCCATAATAGAGAGTCCTGCGTCTCATGGTTACTGTGAATGTCACATCTGGGTAAGGTTCCTTACAACATTCATAAAAACTCTCAGTTCTCTTCCCAGGGACTCCTGTGTAAGAGGGAAAAGGAAGAAAACCCAAAATTAATGTCAATGAAATCTATATTATGTAGTGATTATTTTATAAAACGATAGGTGTAGCTTTCTTAGTTTTACTATAGGTAAAACTGCTTCTTCAAGCTTAATTCTCAATTAAGTCACTTTTGTTAGGTAATAATGGAAAATCAGATAAAAGATATTTACTGAATTCAAGCTGACTTTTTTATGTTGATTTTCATCTTATGTCTGCTCTCAGAGTTTCAAGCACCACTAGCTAGGTCATTTATTAATTTAGTTTCTCTCTTATTTTCCCAATCATTATTTCAGCAGTGAAGTGCTGTCAAGGCTGCAGGTTCAGAGTGTAAATAAGAAATCAAGAGCTTACCTACTAAATCCCACTCTCCATTTGAAATATAGCCAGATATATCCGCTTCTTGCATTTGCAAGTCTAAGGACCAGCCTCCATATGTCCAGGACCCAAACTTCAGGTTACACTTCTGAACGTCAAACGGAAACCAGCGCACATCTATGTAGCATGAGCTCTTAAATATGCCTAGGTTGGATTTTAAACAAGAACACCAAATTGGAATGCTTGTTCCACATAATTCCACGCCCATTTTGTATCTGGACCTTGTTCCACATTGCACCCTTTGGCATTTAGTTGTAAGCACAGTTAATCTCAGTTGTGTCTTGAGATGTAAAAAGCAAAAGTCAGTTACAGAAATGGGAAAGAACTGCATCAATTTTAGGTATTGATGTTATAAACTGTGTTTTACCCATTTCCATTTAGGCACACAGTAGATAAAGGTTTAGAGAAGAGCACAGATTTCTAGATACTGTATATCAGAAAGAAATGAAGCAGAATATGCAGTCTGTTTTTCCTATATCTGTGACTGAATAAAATAAGAGATCTTGAAAGATTATTTGCTATCTTATTAGATTTACGTGATCTTGTTTTATTCAGGTAGGCTAGCTTATTTTTCATTTGTTGAGTCAGGCTCTGTCATTTAGCAGCTTTGAGAATGGAACTGAAAACCCCGCACTAAATGGAACACCTTACATGCGAACAGGCAAACCCCTGAAGTCCTCTGGGGATCTTAGGTAGAAAAACTAATTTGGAAAGCACTTGGCTGTATCACTGTACTTTCTAAAATTAAGGTTCTTGGAAGTGTTAATTCTGGGAACTGTGGTAATTCAATTATGGAACAGAAACTACTCCACTGATCCACACCTGAGATTCAATGATATACTTCTGATATCAAATAAATACCAAACACAGACTTTGTTCCTTTCAGGATTCAAAAAATTTTTGATGAAGCATCCAATGAATTGTTTCAATGGAAGAGATGTCCCAAGATGTTCCTAAACATCTCATTGTAAAGTAACATACTAATAGAAGAAACAGCTAAAGTAATGAAATACATTTATATTTAGAGACATTATCTTTGATAAACAATAACCTTTTATACTAAGGGCTTCTATTTTTTATCTTCTTTTATTCTTCCATGCTACTGTAATAGTGCGTTATGACAGAAAAATTTAAATAAGTGCAATAAAAAATCTGTGGTGGTTTTCATACAAAAGTGTTAACCATGTAATTCATGATGCATCTAGGCTTATATCTAGCAGATGACGGCTAGCTACGTAAATAAAATACCAAGGAATTTATGTCAAATTTGAAACCACACCATATATAGGTAATCTGAGTTATAAGTATTTATGACATGAAAACAGCCTACCTGGTGGCAGATATTGGCAATGTCCTGAAGAATTGACTAAAACATTAGTGTGAAATGTAGCATCAAATCTTTCATCAGCACTAGAATAGGGAAAAAAGAAAATGGGTTATATGCTCTGTGGCTCAAAATACCTGAGAAGAATCTGTTCTTCATAAAAGGATTATTTATCCCCAAAATAAAACCCGTCAGCTTTTCTGCTGGCACCAGCTTCTTGTGGCCTCAGGGTAAGCGGCCCTGATGGTATTGGATTTGTTCCTGATTACACTGTAAGTGGAGGCGAACCATGTCATTCTCTCTGCTCACCCACCTTGCAAGATTCACCACATTGCCTCGGCTGTTTATTGATTTCCATTTGGATAGTAAGCACTTTTTAAGAACTTCTCAAGCAATTGTACAGGGAAATCTGTTCTCTTGCTATCCACATAAACAGCAGCTTTCATTTGTGCAAGGGATAAGCAAAATGAGACATACACTCCTCTACTCTGTTGGACTGTTTGTAGTTTGCGAACAGTCTCCTCGCGGGGATGGGCTGGAACATGAGTTAAACACCGTGCCGGCAGCTCCGGGCACAGGAAAGGCCACAGGAGCCATAGGGTCTGCTGTCTTGCTGCAGCTGGTGCTTGCGTTGATCAAAAAAAACACGTTATCTCTAGGGTGATTTGAAAATCACAAGTCTCAGGTGTGTCTCTACCTATTAGTTGTTTAGTATCTCATCACTTTCTAATCACCTTGTAAAACATTGTCAGGAAAATACAGTAAGGATCTGAGATGGGGAGAAAGTGAAACATTCATAATTTTGGCATAAAAGAAATTATAAGGGGTATGTTTTTCCAGCAGCATAGCTCCTGTTGAAATATATATATTTTTTTTTTAAAAAAAAAAAGGAAATTTGGCATACTGTGATAGAAAATCGTGTATCTCAGAAGCTAAAATAAAGCAGTTTTTATTTTAGTCTTCATTACTTTGCATTTTATTTTCCCCATATGTATTTCAAAGACGTTACGTTTTAAAAGTATCTGACTGATCTGTGAAATGTGCAGACAAGAAAAAATTAAATCAAAAAAATTACTCTCCCACCTGGAGTGGCACTATTTCCACCGGTGAGCTGAAGGCTCACAGTGCTGAAAGTCATTCACTAGTGTTTTTCCAACTATTTAATTTGAACTCTGAAGATAAGCTGAGGAGTCTAAATATTGTGTTGTAGTGTGAGTGGATTCTAGGACTTGGAGGGAAAAAGGGAATTCAACTCTAAGGCAGTTGAAGTAATGCAGGCTGCTGTCCTTCAGCTTCACAGCTCACGGGTGGATTCTCTGCTGGTTAACAGACTGAGCTCTTGTCGCAGCTTCTCTTCTAGCTGGAGCACTAACTGTTCTGCCTCATCTTGGCTGCCTTTTTTCCTGGCGTTTGTGAGGAACTCGTACTGCTGAGATGTCTCCTAACCGAACTGCCAAATTTTGCAGAAGTGGATTCGAAGGGTATTGGGAGAAGTATACATGTATGCACAAGTATGCTGTATGCAGCAAGACGCACACACAAACACATACATTCACAGGTGGGCACGCACACCCTCCAGTTGCATAGGTCTCATTTCCTTAGAAAAGCAGACTTAAAGTTCTGCAGACAGTTTCGATATTGGACATAGACAAGTAATTGCAGTGACTTGAGTGTAGCCTCATTAGGGCTGCATTAGGAAACTCAAGCCATGTAGTCAAATTTAGGATGTGAAAATATCCATGCTGAACAAATTGCTTGTAAAGTGGAAATCAATAACTTGAAATGAAATTCTTAGCTTCCTTGGCTAGTTTCTGTGTTCTCTCCCTCAAGCAGAGGTTAGTGAAGAACCAGAAGGCCACTTGTAAGACCCTGCTGTTCTTTCTGGTCATCCACAAAACTCAAATTTTCAAAAGGCATCACGTGTCAATCACTTGATTGACACAAGTCACCAAGGAATCTGTTTCATTGTCGTGTGGTTTTAATTTTAATATGGCATATTCTTAAAAGGATATCAAGAGATACTTAGGCTCAAATTTGAAGATACTTTTTTCTGGAAGAGAAGTATATGTGGTTTTCTACACTGTGCTTCTAATTGTTTTTTGAAATGCAGTGCTTCAATTGGGATTACACGAAGCAGGAAAGCCTTTGTTTGATGAGATTTTGTACTCAAATATAATGATAGAAAATCATCTCTGCTATGTTTCTTCTTGAAGATATAGCCACTTGAAAGCAAATACTGACTGCAACGCATTGAGATGACAAAGCTGTACTTAGCAGACATAATCCCACTGGAACCTATCTGGAGAATCTCAGGTTTATGAAACTGGAAAAATGGAACTGAGACCTAACTACCAGAATGTGTATTATTCCATGAACTAATGAACACTATGTGGCCATTTGGAAAGCAATACCAGCAAAAATAAGCACTTCTAATGAATCTAGTAAAACTAACAAAGTAGAACAGAGGCAGACACGACACTAATGCAGTCAGTCCTGGAATTTGTACATAGGCCAACATTTTTCTCTCTCAGAAAAACTACAGATGGACTGGGCCTGGTCTCTTTACAACAGACTGGTAGTAAAATTTAATACAGCTGCCACTTTTCCAGGTACTATGTTATCCTTCTTGTTCTGTAATGTGCTTCTGGTACAGTTAGCATGGATGTACAGGTATTATGAAGAACAGTCGAAAACTGCTAAAATCATCCTTTAATTTTGGATACACAACCTTAAATGTTGAAGCATAAATCTCCAGATGCACTGAAAGTCTCTCAGATATGTGGTACATGTGAGGAAGAATATTGTCATGATTCATTCTTTTGGAAATCTCTAAAAGGCTGTTGTAGAGTACCAATTTTGTGGTGTACCTACAGTGTTATTCGGCAGGAGTATGGAAATGGTTTGCATGGGAATGATTTATTGGTCTTTCCCAAGAATTCTGTCATTTATGAAATCAAGGTAGATAGGAAAAGATGGTCAAGAGAACGAATTTGTAATGAAAAATACGTTAAGCAAGATCAGTGTTGCAAAAATACCTGTTCAGGTTGCATGTGTACATTTCTACGTACAGAGCATTCTTAGGCTGGTGTCTGCACAACTGAAGCACTAATTGCAGTGCTTAAACCAGAAACAAGAAGTAATCCTGGCAGGCAGTTACACTAAGTGTGGGGAGGTCTAGCAAAGACCCCCTCAATTCACTTAGTGTTAATTGTAGCTCTGCGAAAAGCACGGAAGCGTGCTGTAAGCAGTGTGGAGGTCCTGGAGAGAAGTACTCAGCTGGCTGACAAATGCTGTCACTGTGTGCTGTCACCACAGCATTACAATTCAGCAACACCTGTGAGAATGGCATTAATCATAAAGGTGATCAGCAGGTGGCAAAAGGGCAGCACAGCTGCAGCTGACGTTGGTACAGCTACTGAATGGGTGTTGCTGCCACAAAGGGCAGTGGAGAGGGGCGTCAGGTGGATGCAGACTGCAAGGCTGGCTTCTGAGTAGACATATGGGGGAGACACTGAGGAAAAAAGCCATCAGGAAAACAAAAGGTTTGTGTCACCTGCACAGGCAGATAAAACACCAAGTACCCTGTCTGCCACAAAAGAACCAGAGCAAGATGTACAAAGCAGATGTAAGGTCTTTCTGCTAGCTGGGGAACTGCACACGGGCCCGCAATAACTGCAGAAGAACAGACATCTTCCAGTGCTTTAACAGGGCACTTCTGATGGGAAAGGAGACCCTCAGGTAGCCCGTGTTATGAAGCCACAAATTCTGAAGAGCGATGGCTGACGAAAGAGCTGGGTCACAGCCCCACAGGCTGCTCAGGCCAGGCCCTGTGCTAGTCAGGGAAGGCCACAGAGCAGGCTCCTGAACATCTGCAGAGCCGTGACCGTGTCAGCTTACACCACAGCACGTTTGAGACCATTCCAAAGGCTGGAAGAGGGTCCCTGTTCATTTTATGTGGGACTGTCTTGATGTATGTGGTTGTATCCATGCCAGAGACAGCAGAAGACCCTCACTCCCAAAGAAATGCTCTCTATAAAGGGTAGCTTGAGCAATCAGAGAGGGGAACTGCACATATGTGCTCAATGTACTCCTACAAGAGCCTCTGTGAGAGGCAAAAACAGTCTTTGCTGAGCACAACAGACAGATGGAAATTGCCGTGTCGTCAAGCCATTTTTTTTTAAATGCAATGTGTGCACAGCCAGGTCTTCTGTTTAACTTGGGACTGTTGGAGATAAAGAACTTAGTACTTCCTTGGGGTTTCTTCTTATAATTGCTTAACATGGAATAAGTGAAGAAAAACTAGAACAACAAACCAACAACCAGCCAAAAAAATTTGTATGCTTTTGGTGAGGAAAGGAGCGATGGTAACTACCACTGTCTCATGCTCATTTTTTCCAACACCAAAGCTGGGCTATGGCTGTTCCTGCTACCCAAATGGAAGGCCATTTGTTCTTCAAAATTCAGATTGTTCTAGATGGTACAGGCACAGATCTTGTTCCTTAGCAGCACAGAATGAATAGTTAGATTGCAAGTAAACAATTAATTCCCTAATTGCAGTGGGGGCATAAGGAAAAATTTTCTCTACAGATTCTTTAATGATTTACTTTATAAGAAACACTGGACACAAGATGTTTGCTAGTTTTTCATTGTACTCAGTAGATGGTAAGCCTGAGGGAAGTTTCTACTTAAAGGTAATTAAAGATACCAAGTTTCTGAAGATGTAGGGTTTTCAGTAATTGAAGCTGTTATTCTTACTCTTTTTCTTTTGGTAAATATAGCTCCAGAACTCTGCCAAGAACTTTTTTTTGTCTAATTACTGTTCAACAGTGAAATGGACAAAGAAATACTGAGGAAAAGGCATAAAGCAGATGACAGCTTATCAATATGGACATTCTCTTTCATATTTCATTTTGTCATACAGTACTATGAAGTAATTCATCAGTGGGTAGTGTGATTCTGTGTAATGCCATTGAATAGAAAACCTGGCTGAAAACATGATTTTGTTTACATAAAGGTATGTGTGTGCACTGATCTCAAGATGTTCATATACTTTCTGCTCCCTCCCCACCGCAAAGAAAAACATTGGTATGATAGAATTGTATTTTTATTCCCCAACCCCAGCTGCACAGATACTACATGCATGCATCTAAGGGAAGAATTTGGTTACTTGAATTCAATAGAGAGATGGAAAAAAAACTTATTTTTTGTACATACAATCCAGCAGCTGCATTGCTTTCATAACAGAAGCCTACAGTGCAGGGGATGTCACAATCGTGTGATATATTGGAAAAATAGTGTCAACGGTACTTAACCAAAACACTCTGCATCATGCAATTGTATGCCTGGGTTTTGTACTCCCATTAGATCTAGTAATGTTTCTACTTAATAAACAATGTTATTTTTATTTTTGATGTGCCGTTGTTTTAAATAGATCTGGGATTTGTAGTGAATTTGCTCACAGATAACACTTCAAATCGTTAAACAGACTTGCATCCAATTTCAGCTGAGATTTACTACTGCACCTTGCTAAAGCAGTATGATTCCACAGCAAAAGTTTATTGTGAATACTACAAAAAAATGGGCCACTAGTTTCTTACACATAGTCTCTCAGAAGGATTCAGAGCTCCGGTGAACACACCTTTCCTGAGCAGGGTAGTACGCAATTACCATTTGTTCTGTTTTCTTGTTTAACCCCCCGGTTTTCTCTGTATCTTAAATACTCAAAGTTGCTTGTATTTATTCTCTTTTACATACACTACCAAAAAAACACACTATATCACAGATTCTTCTGTTCTTCCTAAGAAGTAGTAATATGCTACCTTTTTAAACTAAATGCATGCCACAATGGGAACCAGCATATAATGGTTCAGCCAAAGGATCTCTCGTGTCAGCCAAGTTTCTGCAGCTGATTGAATTCACCAGTAAATATTTACACCAAGCAAATAATTTCAGAGAAAATCATCACAACCTGTACCATTAAACACAGCCAGGAAAGTTTAGTTTTCTAATCATCACATAAAATCCAGCTAGAATTGATTATAGAGAAGCTGTTAGTATTTACTAAGTATTTGCAAATATGACCTCCCACTGTGTAAACTAGTTATTTTCCAGTATTCCAAATTAGCAAAACCTAGGCATTTTAATGAAATGGTTATGTCATTTGTCTTATGTTCTCAACTTCCCCACAGGAAAAAAAAAAAGCGTGTCCACCTGTTATAGAGAAGAATATCTGGCTTCCAAATCAGTCCATCAGGAAAACGGACGTTCTTCACTCCAGGGTATTCAGACACATTCCACTGTAAGTAATGATCTGTCCAGTACTAAAATATACAAACCAAACATGTTAGCTCTTCTCATCCATGGCTTTAATTTTGTTCTCCAGACTGCATAGCTTGAAACAATACATGTGTTCTTGTTAGAGATATTATTTAGCTTCAGACAGTAAAATGCTTGAAAAGGGTGAATTAGGCTACCAAGAGCTCACTGGAAAGCATAAAAAATCTCATTTTCAATTCACACTGCAATGCATATAACAGCGTATAAAAGAAGATCTGATATGCTTGTATTTTATTGTTCGTGCTGGCTCAGGTACCAGTTTGGGATAGAACAGATTTTGTTTTACAATTCATACGTAACTTCAATGACATTTTTTTTTCCATCAGAGACAACTTTGTTTTCTGTGGTTGCAAATTCTTAGGTTGTAATAACTTGATTACTGGCATGTGGTAGATCAGCCAACAGTCTCTGCTGATAGGAAAAACAACTGAAATGGCAGAACAGTTTATACTGGCAGCAGAAGGCCTTGTCAGCTCCTGTGGCCTGAAGTTAGCCAGCCTTTGAAGCAGGTGCTCAGCAGCACCATCCTGCTCCAGAAGCTTTCTTCTTGGCTGGCGCTTCCTACACTGGAAGCTGCCACCCTGGTGACTCTCCGGGCTCCTTACAACAATTCCGTGACTGCCAATATAGGCAGGGGTTCTGTTGTGGTCAAACCAACAGGGTTTAGAACTGTGCTTCCTGGCATGTGCTTCCATATTTTTCTCATTAACTTTTTACTAGGAATTTTTAGTTCTTTGTCACCTGGACAAATGATCTGAGTTTTGTATTGTTTTTTTTTTTTCCTTTTGCTCCACAGATACTAGTTGTGTTTTTTTTTTGTCGTTGTTGTTGTTTAGTTTTGTTTTTACAGGAATCTTAAATCAGAATATGTCTGTTAATAGTTTTTTTCTTTTCACTTCCTACTCCATTCACAGTTCTTTAATGACAAACTACATCTCTTGTTCACATTTATCTATACACAACTTATATAACCTGATCAACTGCTTGTCATCTTTTTATTTCAATATTTTTAGCTCCATTTTTATGGTAAATTATATTATATGATCTTCCCTGATTGACAAAAAATCACTGTACTTTCTACTACTTATCTTTTGTAGAATTTAGACATACCAAGATCCTCATGATATTTTATTTATTTATTTCTTTATTTACTGAGTGTAGAAATGTAAGGCAATTGGAGTGTGGTTTTGAGGTGTTGTGTTTAAACCTGTGGGTTCTTGTTTGAATTTTGTGACTCTTTGTCAAAAGCTGACAGAGTAAGTCACTTTTTTGACTAGCGGGCACATGGCTGGGACTGTAGGGCCATGGGACAGCTGCTGCTGAGCTCACTGGCCTCCCAGACTCTCTGGCTGATTGGCATCTGAATAGCATTAAAATTATACCAACGTATCCAAGAATTTCTTATTCTAACTTCTGCAAGTTATTGTAGCCAACATGATATAGCACAGGGTGTCACTGAATGCTGTGAAGACAGTCAAAAGTCTAACAGAAAACTTAATTTTTGAAGACTGGATTAGAAATAACACTAAGCAGATTGTGGTTGCTCTCCTTAGCCACATTTACAGAGCGTTTACTCATTGAGCTGGACACGAGCTGTTTCATTTTGTTTTAATTTTGGAGCTACAGCCTCCACTGCAGCTGAAGTATGTTTGATGCAGATTAGAAAAGCAAACATCTAAGGGTACTTGGCTTAGTATTTGTATTAGTATTGGCTTAGTGTTTGACTAGGCAAGGCTCCTGCTGTAACTTCGATCGAGTTTAAGATTCTGATACTGAGCAGTATTGCCATGGAGATACAGTTCCTGACCAAAGAGTCTGGATAAATGCTAGTTTTATTCACCCTTCTCCCAGGTTATTTTTTGTACTTAAGTATTTCATTGATGACTAGATAAAATATATTTAAGATACATCTTTGGTTATATGTATGATTTATCAAGGAAGGGAGTGGAGGCAGACATACAAGGAAAAACTTCTCATTGCAGACCATTGTGTCATAAAATGTCATATGTTTGCCTCAATCATGCTTTGAATCTGTCTAGTATACACTGAATAAACAGTGAATACAGAAACACTTTTTTTTTTTTTAATGTAAACACAGGCTATGAAAAGTGGCTGCATTTTTTGTAGTATTCAAGTTATCCGCTCATTGTGGTCCTAACATGTTCCACATACAGTATGTACTAAGGTGAATAAATCAAAAGAAATACAGCGAATATATAAAAGAACCAAAAATTTACTTGGGGAAAAATATCTCCAAAAGGACAAGGACATTAGGATAAAGAGAGGAAAAATAAGCGATAGCTTCTTGGGTGTGAATTGTCATACATTTTCCTGGTAAGAAATTATAGCAACATTTTGTCAAAGCCAAAACCATATTATATTTGACAGTTTTAACCCTGCTGTAAAACAAGCCTATAAAACAGCATGAGCTAAATGCTTCTTCCATGTCAACTCTTTGTGAATAAATGGAACAGCCATGCTGTTCTCTCCAAAGGTCATCCAAACAATCTCTCATTTGTTTCCTAAAGCCTGCCACAGTGCAGGAGAGGCCTACTATAGAAATGCTCTAATCAAAGAAAAAAGAATCTATTTAGATCAAATGAGCTGATTAAAGAAACGGAAAGGTGTAAAGTTTCTGTTGGAGCAGCACGATCGTCTTGAGAAGTAAAACTCTCCTGTAAAGCTTTACTTAGCCCAAACAGTTCAGTTTCTGCAATACAGATGGGAATTAAATGCCAATTGTCATCCCAGCTACTGTAGTATGGAGAAAACTGCCCACATCACCCCATCTTTGTAAAGCATGGGTTTATGGAAGATATTTTTTGTGGCAGCACTAGGAGCCCAGTAGTCAGCATGGTAAGAGGCATCTTGTTAATTCTAAATTTTAGTGGTAAACTAATTAAAAATTCAAGTCAGAATAAATCTGTGTAGGCTCCTTTGCCTTGGGGGCAGCTCTCTCACGAGTTAAACTTGAAGAAATTTAAAATACTCTCGCAACATTCTTGACTGTTCTACTGTCTCTTCCATTTATTAAAAAGTGAGTGACACTTACTCCTACCCAGTGATGTCAGACGTGAGTTAATGGGGGGCAAAGTTCTCTGCCGTGCTGTCTAGTGGTGGCAACAGAGGTACGTTAAGTCTGAAAAAAAGGTCTGAAAATTCTGTGACAACTGTAGCAGCTAAACATTGCATCAAAAGGTAAAATAAAGCTACTGCTTGAAAAACAAACACCATATGTATGCCAAACAAACAGGGAAACCAGGATAAAAATACAGTGTTCGCAGCTGAGCATTAGGAAGCTGAACCTGTGTTCCAATATATATTTGTCATGTAACTGAGAAACAGAATTTGGAGAAATAACCTTAAAAAATCTCATCTTGACAGTTAATCTTTGATGATGATTGATGTTTAACAAAAGCAGTATTTTGAACAACATGAAAACAGCGTGTCCATCTTAATTAAAATTCTCTTGCAGTTTCCTAAGGAGACAGACTTGAAAGCAAAGCAAATAGGACAGCAGAGCCATGTGGTTAGGACAGTGGCAGTAGGTTTCAGGAAATAATGAATCTCTGTGGAATAGAGTTTTTCCTGTATCAGAACTGTGGACCAGAGTTCTGATCAAAACAGCTCTTACAGATGAAATATATTTCATACATGTATAGGTTTCTTTCACAACCAAATGATTTACCTCTACGTAGTGGATTTGTTGAAATGGGTGATAAGGACCTTGTACCTACAGTTACTGGAACTCTGGACATTGGTATCTTAGGGTGGTTGAGAGTTTCTGGAGTGACTAAATCAAGGCCAGTAAGTTTGTGACATATCTAGCTGTGGTGACTCAAATTCATACAAGTTTTCAGAAACACCTGAAACAACATCAGGTCCTAAATCTCAGCCTTGCAGTTTGCCATTCACTTTAGCTTTGTATACTGTGTGGTGAGATGCAGAACAAAAGCTTGAAAGCTTCCTAAAATTGGCACCATCACAAGATGAAATGTGAAGACCAAAGGAGGAAAAAAATTGCTCTGTTTCTCAGAACTCACCATTTGTAGCCAGATGTTTGTTGTTAATACCTGATTCTTTTCATCCTGAAAGGAAGAAGGAAAGGAGGGGAGAAAAAAAAAATGACAGCTTAGTATCACGTGGCTAACGCTAGTAAATGCAGTCAGCTATTATGGACTAGTTGTGCTAAGGTACCTTTTAAAACAAAAGGAATCATTGCCCCTGCCTAACTGCATGGGAAGTTTTCACAGGTAGTTTGTAATGTATCTCATATTACTGCTGTCAGGCACGCTGTTACTGGAGGGTATCTTTCTGCCAGATATTTTCCAGGGGCTCCTTCTTTAATAATATCTCAAAAGGCACAAGAGATTATCAGAGAGGTTGCCTGTTTCACCTTTGCTTAGGAGCAGCCCTCTCACTAATTAACCTTACCCAGCAGACATACGCAGCTAATAGAAACTGAACACAGGACGTGTGGCTAACCTCAGATGACAGGTACTGAGGCTGGATCAAGCAGCTTCTCACCAGGCAAGCAGCCCACTGGTTTCAGTGGAACTACACACTGAAGCGTTCCATCCCAGTTTTACCTGAGAAGGGTTGTCAGGGCAGCACATTACTGTTGTGCCTGGAAGTTACAATTTGAAGGCCTTACTGCTCACCCCCTGTGACTATCTGATGTAAGCTCAGGTGACAGAATTGGCATCTTAATGCTGCAGTTAACTAAGGGGATGAATTCTTCATTTCTCAGACATGGGGAAATGCTGGTGATCTTACTTCTCGGGAGGTACCAGCAATTACTCATCCCTCAAACTGTATCAGCATCCACCTGGGTTGTGCGAAGGGAATGGAATATACCATATACTGGCCATGTTCTGCCCTCTGAGCTGAATGCACAATCCCTGTCCCAGCAACAGCCAGAGCTTCATTTGCAGTCTAAGGAAGTGAGATAGCAAGTTTCAGTCACCTGTACAGCAGGCACTGTCAGAGTTGCTTGTCTATCTAGACTTCTGAATTTAGGTATCTCTCTCTTGAACTTAAATTTTGTTCCTAAATGCCCCAATATGGCCAAAAAAGATTTAATCACATTTCATACCAAAACAGCTGTTTTTTTGATAATACTCTTTACTAAAGGTAAATACTCTTTTGCTGTTGCTTGGTGGACTTAAAATTGAACAAAAGTTCCAAGTGGTATTTAAGTGAAGTGATACTAGATTAGCACTACAGTAAGGAGTTACACAGCATGCAAAATCAAACACAGTGCAAGGGGTAACAGTATTCTGAAAGCAAGTGGAGCCTTTTGAGGAACAGCATTGGTAGGCACATGCCAGCATTACTAGGTTGTGTGTAATCACAACTAAATGTACAACATAGAGACAAGTAAAATATTTAGGTAAAGATCAGTATTGTGAATCAATAAAGTCTGCCCTCAAATGCACATTCCTAAGTTCCTTTAAAATAAAAAAGTAAATAAAAAATAAAAGGAATCATAGACCACAGGAAGTGATTCAGCACTTTTCCTATTTTCTGCTTCATCACCTCTGTGAACCTTACTTTTTCACTGAATCTTATCTCAAGGGAACAACTCATTTAAATGGCATCCTGGGGAAACAGGCTTTTTTAACTCTTTGGTACCAGAAATACATTATTAAGCATACTGAAGACATTGCTGAAGATGTCAGCCAGGCAAAGTAGTAATTAATTTGTAATAGTAGCTGTTATTCTCTAGGCATGCAAACATTAACTTGATGCCTTTCTGAGTAAGCTCCATATGGTATAAGAGCACAACAAAACTAATTTACCTGGGATCTTTAATTAATGAGTGAAAGAAACAATGCTTAAGAGATCATTCATACCATGAACAGAAGTCTATAAACCAGTGTTGCAGTTGAGGGTTATGTAAAGCCTGTATATGTTTCTATTCAGCATTTTAGGTCAGACGTAAACACTGCCAATGATAACAGCATGTAAAGTTCAGTAGCATTTTCTCAAGGCTCTGTGTGTCATCCCAGATGAACATGCCAAGTTCCTATGGACACGATGTCCAATCTATTGCACCTAAGCAAAGCTGAGGGCACCACTGCTGTGTGGCTTCACCACAGGACACAGTAGGTTTGTTGCTGTGCACAGGTCTGCCTGGCTACACAAAAGTGCGGGGCAATTCAGAATCCATTATGTTGTGGGAAACTTGTTTCAGGATGATTAGCTAAACGGCATGTACTCCTGCACTGTTAAATCCTGAGTTAAACTCACATTTTACTCCCAGCGTGATCTTTTTCTACACACAAATGGCTCCAGCTTTAGATAAGTGATGTTTTAAAAGTTCCCTTTTGAGTAGCAGGAAAAGACTGCACTAAAGCTGGAGTGCTGCTGGTGCTCAAGCTAATGATATGCCATGGGGATTTATTTTGAAGCCCTGAGTCTACAGCGTAGTCAGACGAACTATTTCTGGAATAACATAAAGGAGCTCTACTATCAACCAGCACACATCACAGAACCCGGCTAGGAAGCTCACACTCACCAGTGAAAGCAGCCCAGCTGAAGGGAGCAGCAGCCCTTCAATCCAGCTGTGCTCCTGGCAGTGATTCAGCTGCCTGCCACGCTGCCTTGCAGCTGGGCACATGGCAGAGCCATCCCAGGTTGCCTGCAGGAGACTCTGCAGACATTTTCTGGGGCACTAATCCAGCTGCTGAAAGCCAAGAGTTATTCTGAGTAATAATCTTTCACTCAAAACCAACCAGAAATTGAGTATCTAGAGAGTACTACTTCAAAAATAACTTTTACGGTGAAGACAAACCCTAAATGAAGATGGACCATGCTGCTTTCCTGGTGTTTTTTTTTCTGGCATTTTAAATGTTTAGAGCCTTAAAGAGTATGTTTGATCAAAATAGCTCCCACTTGGATCACTATATTTCAAGATCCATCAGTGTTTGAATCGTAAATCCTATCACGGCTCCTCAGCTACAAGAACTCGCTGCATGCTGTGAGTTGGTTTATAGCATTTTTCCTAGGAGCAAATGGCTTCCAAAATTGTAGTCATGATTGGATTGACTCACCCATCACTAGAGGAAAGCTTCTGATTTAAAGGCTTTGTCCCTTTCTCCAGGCCCAAGTGAAGCTGGCAGAGGTGGGGCAGAAGACATTCTGCAGAGTTTCTCCTGTCTAGGGGACTTTTGATACTGTTTTAGAAGCTTTACAGCAAACTGCATTATTATCATTTTTCATCAGGGTTGATGAAAATTTTCCCCATAAAATGATGGGTGGGCTTGAAATGTTCCACAGAATGTCACCATTTCTTGTTGCATCTCAGTACTTTATGAACACTTTGTAAAAAATGTAGAATGCCAAGGCAAGGCAGCTCCTGTTACAAACCTTTTCTGCTATAAAGGGGCAAAGAAAAGACCTTGAGACATTCTCAAATGCAGGGAAAATAAGTCAGAGAATGAGGCCAGTAACTGTATAATGTAGTCTGGACTGGTATGGTATTTTTTCCCATGCCAGCTATGTTAGGTTATGTGCTGTGCAGGTGGTGGTACTGGAGAAGTGGCCCAGCTCACAAGGAGTTAGTTAGGTTTCATTTGTGCATGGGAAGTTGGTAGGAGGCTACCTCGGTCTGCTTAATTTGTAATTGTAGTCATGATCTGTGATGGCAGGTGGCAGCTGCTACTGGGTTGGTTATCACATTTTTTTATGGCAGCATGATTAACAAAGGGGAAGTAGTTGGCATCTGGAAGACTTGAATGGTCCTTCACTCATTTTTGAAGCTAGAGGTACCAAAAATTTCTGTAAGCTCTTGCAGGGAATTGCACTGTCTCCATTCTTCCATTTCCCCTCTGATTTTGTCTGCCTTTTCATTTTAAAACAGTCTGTCAGACTGATCACCTTTGGAAGCAGAGTATCAGATTCTCACATTACCCTACCCTTACTCTATGGTCAAAAAAATATGCAACAGAAGATATGTGGAAATCTGACAATGCTTTGTGCAGGACATTAGCCTGGGCAATATAAACATTGTAAAGGACATTATCTGCTTGCTTTCAAAGGGATGTCAGCTTATTTAGCATCCACAATAGAAAAGCTACCCAGCAAAAAACAAAGGGAAAAGCGAAGTCAGCCTGTAGCCTGGCATGCAGACGGTGACATGCAAGTAGCAAGAAATGAATGCTTCCCAGAAGACTTGCATAAAATGATGTCCTAACTAAAATCTGTTAGCAGTAACTCTTGCACTTCAATTCTTCACTTATTTCTACATGGTTAAATGTCACCTAAATCACAGAAAAAGTAAGACCTAAGGAAAGAGGGCTATGTTGCTAATGTCACCAGGGAGTTTAGTCACAGCACTGCAGCTGTGGCTGGGGTTCCCGGGTGAAGATGGTTGATGTAGTCAGGGAGCAGCCACTCCTACCGTGTCACCTCTTCGAAAACATACTGCTACCAGGGGGCTGCCATCATATTCCCTTCCCTCTTGAAGGGAAGAAATTAAATATTTATGTAATGACAACAACAAAAAAGAAAAAATACTTTTTAGTGTGGTAATAACATGGCTGATGAAAAATGCAGAATCTACTTTCTGCTCCATAGACTTTATTTTTTTTTCCTGAAGCAGAATAGCATGAACAGGAGAATCTGAAAGCCTGACAAGAAGTGTCATAGGACTGCGGAGCATTGGGCTGGTGGAAAACTGAGGGGCAACAGAACCATCAACACAAACCATGTCAGTTTTATAATTAAAACCTTTTAACAAAATCCAGTCCAAGTTTGCAGACTGCTTCCAGATGACTGGAATGACTTTTCTTTCAGAGAATGAAAGCTTCACAGAAGCCTTTTTTGCTTGTCACTGCTCATACGCTAGAGTCTATTCAGCTCCTTCTGTTCTAATCTCCAGACACGCTCACTCATCATTTATGTTTCTCAGAGCCAAGATAGATAGCACATTTCTGGGCACAGGAGGAGGCAATGCTGCTGTCCATCAATTAAAACGCTGCTCTGTAGGCACCTTGGGGCTGAGGAAAGACCCAGTGTTTATATGCACTGTCAGAGTCTCTATAGAAAGTCTTTTCCCCTTCCTGCTCCCTCGTCTTTCCAGGCA